GCTATCAGGGTCCCGGTCAAGGATCGTCGCTCAGATGTCGCATGTAGTAGCAGTGGCAGTTTACTGCGACCACCATCGCACTACCACTATCACGACGCTACTATGCCGGGCGGTCAATTAGGACTATACAAAGAGGGCAATACTGAAGTCGTTGCTGGAACTAATATGCGTGGGCAGTTGGTGTGACGTCGAAACATTACCCCAGCATTTTGGATGGAGGATACACTCTCTGGGGTCATACCAGCGCTCCAATTTCATATGATGGGATGATCCGAAAGCCCACCTCGGGCCTATTATATGAATGGAGTTGATGGGGAATTGCCAGCGCGAAGAAAGAGAAGACGCCATGCGTGCGACATGAATGATTCGTCACCGTGCTGGTCGTTTATGCTTCTTTCAGCGTTAAGCCATAAGCGCGGGCTTCAAATTTACGTTTTCGCTTCTCATAAACACTCCTGTTTCTATTGGCTGCGCAAGAGGACAGCACCACGTAACCCCCCAATAAAAAAGCACAATATCAAAAGTCGACGAGTGACAGAAAGCGTGCTTATCTGAGGCAAGACAAAGCAGCCAAGAGGTGGCTTTGCATAGTGCCAGACATTGTGCGCAGGGTGGCAAGCTGACGCCTTTCGGGTGTCTCACAATGGTCCAGACTCTGGCTAGGCGCCTAGACGAGCATCGTCGTAACGCGCATCCAGCAGCGTATAGGGCCGTTTTTCAATTACTCGTTGCGGAAGTTCTCACACCTCATTGAGACTGGGTGGAGGGGTAGGAGGAGGAAGGAAAGCGAACGCAAAAAAAAAAAAAAAAAAAAAAAAAAAATTGGTGCAATGGCTAAGTATGTACGAGCACGACTGATGGCTGAGCTGAGGCTAAGCTACCCTATCGTCATGGCATGGGCGCCAAGCACATCGCCGTCGCCGTCGCGCACATACACTCTCGAGGCGGTGAGCGCGATTCCAGCCGCATTGAATGGAGAGTGAGGTGGTGTGGCACGGACTGTGTCCGGCATGCCGTGCATCTTGACGGGACATTAAACATGAGAGTGAATGGAGGGGAGCGGGCGTGGAGGGGGCAAACTAAGAGATTCGCGATCCAGGTATGAATCGCTCGCTCGACCGTCGAGCGATCAGAATAGCATCACAGTCAACGGTGCTTCTTAGTCAGACACTTGTGCTCTTGCAGAGTCATGTCAAAGATACTGGTACGAGGAGAGCGAGCGCCGATCGCTGATACGAGCGTTTAGCTAAACGTGGAAATGGTATTCCTGTTGAAATGGTATTCCTGCGGAAAGTCTTTCAAAAAGTCGGGTTCAGGCCAAACAGTCGTGCTAGCGAGAAGCGGCTGAAAATCATGGCGCGCCATGTCTGAGATATACTTGCAGGTCACTGTGGCTGTTCCCAACCAGCGATGACAGAGCAGACAGAGGCACGAACTGCGAGCACGAAACACCGGATTGTGGGCGGAGGGTCTTGGACCGCCCATCTTTTGCCTCATTTCCGGAAGAAGACGCGCAAGGGGGCGCTGGCACAGATGCGTTGGACGCAACCGTCTCTCGCTTCGTCTGAGACGAGACGGCGTTGTCCTTTTGTCTTTTATCATAAAAAGCGTCTGCTTCAGGTCGATGGTTGGTCGTATCTCATCTTTGCTGCTGGGTGGGGGCTCTGCGCGATACCCTGTCATCGGAGTGACATCCATGCCTCCCAATCAAACAACGAGGCTACATCGCCGGTGGAGATATGACATAGCCTTTCGAGGCTAGATGCAGATTGCTGTGCAGAGGCGGGATGCGAAGAGAGCATCTGCTTTTCTTCCTGCGAGCTTCCATCATCCGTGGTAGTATTCCGCTACATAAGGGAATCCATTGTGTGGGGGAGTTTGTTGGAGAGGAGCGAGTGAGACGTGTGGCCCGACAACTACCTCGACGACTACACGTTGCGTCTCTGTGCGTGCTTGAGGAGGAGCTGTCGCGCGCAATGGAACATGCTGACCACAGCATCGGATATCAGAGAGTCTCGTGGATAGATCATGTCTCTGCCCGTGGTGTCGCTTTTTCTTTTTCTTCGGGTTTGGCGGCGCGTGGCCCGTGACGGGCATGTCATTCGGGAAGGCGGGCGGGGCAGCAAAAACGACCGCAACCCCTACTTGCGCTAAGTTTAGCGACAGTCGAGGCACTGGTGGTGGCGCTCGAAAAGCGGGCTGGCAATTTCCAGGCCCACCATCTTTTCATCTCAAAGAGGCGCGTCGTGCATATCCCGTAGGCGTGCGCAACGCCAAAGCGGGTTCGCACCAGAAATGGCCGCGAGGCTAGCCTCACTCCGACATGCTGTCTGGCATCCCGGCGCAGCGATCGGACCTTGGACCAGCTCGCCTGGCTGCAAGTGTGTGATACATGTCGATGGAAGAAGGGAACAAAACCGACTCGGCTTTGGCAGTTTTAGCTGGGAGGCACAAAGCAGGAACAGGCCGGCCCGGCGCGGAACATTTTTCGACGTTGGATCGAGTAGAGCGCGAAGCGGTGCTGGCTGTAGGTACAGAGTCCCAAGCACCAGCTACTGTACTGCACATACTTGTACACAATATGGCGCAGACCCCACTAACCGCTAAGATCTCGTGCGCTCCATCTACAACGGCGCTACGGGAGTGTTGAATACTACTACTAATACGATTGGACTTGGTTGATAGGTAGGTCCTGCACTGCACAGGACGGGTCGTAGAATGATGCTGGGCGGGATCGAGGAATACGCCTGAGAGGCATCATACGTTGGAGTTGTTCTCATCACGTAACAGTTGCAATGACGTCTTTTCTCCTCCTGGGAGATCTGTCAAAGCTGCGCTTTATGCCGCAATATGCCGCAAGTGGACTTGCATTTGTCGATTCCGTCGACTCTCTTTGGGAAAACGGCGCGATTCATGCCATGATCTGTTACGGTCTCTGGGTCATCAGCTGAGGACAAGACTCACGATCCGTCTTCTTCTCGCCAGAGATGGACGATGTCGGTAGAACCATGCCATCCATCTACGAGCCAACTGCCATCTATGCGGCTATTTTTTGCTTTGACAATGGCCAACATCCCACAAGTCCAAGGCGATGGCATGATGCTCTGAAACCCGAGCCGTAAGCACGTACGTTTGCTGCGGAGTCTGAGCCAAGGTCAGTCAGTGATGGACGCCGAGGCTGCTAGTACGGCGCGGCTACCGCTGTAACTGTCACTGCCCAATGAGAAAATAAAGGCGACTAGTAGCAGATACTTGTCTTGCAGTGACGGCATTGAGCGCCCAATTTTTTTTTTATAGTGCTTGTAGGCTCTAAAATTGTTTATCATGCAAGCATAGACCCTGTCGCATAGTTGCGCCATTACGGATACTGCTGCTGCTAGTGTTACTGGTCCGTCCGCTGGAGCACAGACAGTTGAGTTAAAGCTGAGGGTCACCATAGTAACTTGGGGTCTCGTTATGGCCGTGGACGATGGCTGGACAGGCCAGGTACGGCTTCGGCAGCGGCGTCCCTGCTTGCGGGCAAGGCGCCGACCGAAAAAGAGACGAATGGATTCATGGTACGACAGGAGCGTTGACAGGGGATGGCCGGTCTGGGGCGATTCGGCGAGCGCATTCCGAGCAATAGCATCTCGTAGCTGCAACCATCCAAATTCCCGATATTCCTATGCGCCCCCTTGGCCTCAGATGCTGTAGGGATGGCACGAAACACATGCGTACACAGACAGACAACATGTGGCGTTGACCGGGCGTCCAGTCAACAGCTACATTGTCTCCTGGAGAGCAGCTGGGCAATGTCTCGCAGCCTCCGCGCGCCGGACCAGTCCCATGACAGAGCGGCACATGTATCTGGGACCTCGCAAGACACCATCGGCGGCTGCGAGCAGGGAGTGGCTCTCAGCGATCTCGAGCCTAAAATGGCGATAGAAGGGCGCTGCCCAATCAGCAGCGCCCCCGGTCGGATCTGGCTGCTGGTGTGGCGTGCGAGACAAAGCAAGGGAGGCAGCGAATGTTAGGCTGGGCTGGGCAATAGACCCGACCACAGAGCATGTAGCTCAGGGAGACGAGACCTCCGCGAGCTGGGGTGGTGGTGGGCTGTTGTCAGCCGCAGACGGGTCGTGTGCTCTCTGTATTTCGCGTGGAGGGACGGAATTCTGGCGATGTGGCTTCTAGAAAGCTGCTAGCCATTCCTTGGAAAGTCAAAATAAAAACGGTTTGGACGAAGCGGCATAAACACCAAGAGACATGTCGACGGCGACGATGACGATGGGCAGAGGGTCGCTGGCCTCGCGATTGGCGTGCAGACTTTGAAACGAGTCCATCACTTCGTCACTCCGCTGTGTTTTGCGTAGCCAAACTCGTCATTTACGGGTTGCGCCTCGCTGCAGCCTTCAAGGGTTAATCCCTGCTGGCGCCAAAAAGAAAGGACCCCCACATGATGATGGATGGACCCTCCAAACCACCACCACTTTTTGATCTCAGTGATTGGAGACTTGGCGAGCCTCCCTGCTCCGTAGGCAATGTCCCCTCTGCGTGTATTGCAGTTGGATGCTGCGCGCCGCGCTGTGCTGCAGCGGAGAGGAAGGCGCTTCTGGATTCGAGCATTTTGAAGGCTGTGTATGAGTCTCAGAGGCATCGTTAATGTCTCGAGCTATTTTTTTTCAACTTGCTGTTATTTTTCCTTATCTTCCTAGTACTTTTATTAGCGTACAACTTTTTTTTTTCTTTCGCACAAGTCTACCAGGCAGAGAGGGACCTCCGCAGTCCCTGTCCTTCTGGGCTCCATAGATTAGCGCCACTGCCGGGATAGTGGTAGAAAGTACTGGTACATGCGGGCAGCACTCTATGCGTCGTCTATCGACCAAGAGGCGAAGCGATAAGACATTTTGATTCTGAACTTGCGAACCCAGAGAATAGGAAAGAAGAGGGAGAGAAAAATTCTAAGAAGCACCCATCAGGCGGAGAGAACCCCATCACGACCTGACGTCGTTCCTGCGACTAACGCTGGATCCCATCTCACACTACGTATCTGTGGGCTCAATTGTCAACCAAGGACAACGGCTGCGCAAACCGCTCAACTGGGCCTGCATTCACGCTGGCCGTCTGCCGCGACTGATTGGTGCAGCGCACTGAAGCGTGAGCGCGGCAACTTGGCTTAGAACGCTGCGTAGCTCCCAATGGCAGGCCAAAGTAACGGGTACTTGGCGGCCCACCCCCCAGCTAACCCGCGAGATGACCTGTGACCCTCCCCAATCAGCAGGCCTCTGGAGGGCCCTGTCGCAGGCCCACCGCCCGCTGCGCTGCGCTGTGGCAGGCGCTTTTGTTATTATAGCAGAGACGTCCAGATCCCAAGACCCCTCCATCTCTGCCTCTGGATCCTTTTCCCTTCGTCTGCTCAACCGCGCAAGGCTTTGCATTTGCAACAGGCAACGCCAGGTCTTGTCTGCGAGGCCAAGTCAAGAGCAGAAGCAGACGCTGAAAGCCTCGCGCCATCTCGAAGCCTGCGTATCTGCCGGCAGATTCGGCTTCGCCCTTCCACGACGACCGGTCTTTGTGTTCCTTCTCTTCTCCGACCTGCCGCCGAGCCTCGTCGCCTGTTGTATTTTATTCTTCTTCTTGCCGTTGCGAGGCGTCACCCAATTCCGCCATCTCTTCTTCTCCCAAGGTGAGTCACGACACGCTGCCTTTTTTTTTTTTTTCCCTGCTAGACTATCTGTTATCGCTCCTCTCTGCCTTGCTCTGCTCGATCATGTTTGCCTCTGCCTATCTTGCCTCTGCCGCCGAAGAAGACAGAGGGAGAGAGTCACCACCCTCCCAATGATGCTCTCCCTCAAACAACTCCTCAGGCCAAAATCGCTACCCACTGTCCAACCACCACCACCTGCCTCGTACAAACCCTCGTTTTCTTCTTATTTTGCCTTTCGCGTACGACTTCCCTCTTGGCAGCGTCTTGGCTGTTATCTCGTGTGTTTCGTTGCAGCCAGTTAGCAGTAACCCTGGCGATAACCACTTCTTGCATGCCCTGGTTGGTGTCTTCCTTCGGGTGCTTCGTCCCCTTTCTGTCCTCTGTGACGGCTGGATGCTAGTGAGGCCTCTCTGCGTTTATGAGTTGGGAGACAGGCGTGCTGATAAGGCAATCGCCTCTTCCGCCGTTGCTCCATCAGCAGATGACATAGTTTGTTCGTGCTTCTGTGAAAGTCNCGCATAACTCTTCTTTAATCGTCCTTCTCCCCCTCCTTCCATCATATTCCACTGCACTAGTTAATACCGTTCTTTCTCGTTCCATCGCTAACGAATTGATACATAGTGTGGCTTGGGTTTTTGCACCTCAGGGATATTCATTTTGTTTTTCGAGAAAGAGACAAAGAGAGTCGATCATCGAAGACTTTGCGGAGTTAGAGATTAGGCACTCACGACGCTCTTCTGCCGTTCCTTTACCGCCGATATACATATAACTACAGTCTATTCTTCAACCTCCATGTCTATATGATCCTGAAAACTTCAAAAATGGATTCAGAAGACGGAGGATTATTCATCAAGGTACATACGCTTCCCTTGCAATTTTCGCTGTTGATGGAAGAGGACGTATAAAGCATGCTAACTTGGACAACAGCAACTTGCTGCGTTTGTACGCACGCACGAAAAGGCTCTTGCCAATGCTCTGCAGTTCCAGCGCCGCGAGGTGCGTCATCGAGCCACGCAAAGCACGAGTTCTGCCACGCTTTCGCAGTCTCCGACGTTTCCCGAGCGTCCTTCGACCGCTGTGTCTACTACCGGCTCGCTGGCCGCTGCCCTATCTCTTGGGCCTCTCAACTTTACCTCTCACAATGTCAAGTCTGCAAAGCTGGCTCTGACCCCCCACCATCTTTTCTACCTCCTCTCTCGCTTCGAAGAATTGGGTATTAATGTGGGCCCCATGAAAGTTCGCTTAGAAGACCTTCACGACAGCTCATCGTCTGCAAATTACGTGTCATTTCTAAGCAATACCCAGCGGTCTAGAAGCCATAGCTCAGATGTTGGCTCAATACACTCCGTCACGAGCATTCGGAGCGTCATGTCTGGCATGTCTGCCTTGTGGACAAGCTTCAGCATCGGTGCTAGCATATCCGCCGCCCGGACGGAGCGTCAAAAGGCGGCCCTGGAGGCTGACATGAAATATTTGTATTCCGCCTTCACCAAGATCCCATGCCTTCGGTTGGCCCCTGATTGGCGTGCTCGCCTCATCAAGGGCTATGAAGAGTTTCCCTTTGACTCTGCGGTTCCTCTCTACATTTTCAAAAATGTCCAGGCACTGGAAGTGAGCAACATCGACTTTCGTCAATTCTTTGGCTGGGACCGCATGGCCGACCAGCTTCGCTCGCTTACGGTCAAACATGCTGGGATAGAAGACCCCGCTGATATCTTAATTGATATCGTCTTGGACGACATGGATAAGAGACGCCGCAGAACATCCAAATCGCAGACTTCACCTTCAATACCAAGCTGGAACGGGAGCCACAGCCCTCGAAAAAGCCCACCCATGTCAGGACGTGAGTTTTCGCGGTCGGTATCGGTCCCTAGCTCCGTCCCTGGCTCAATGCCCGGCTCACCGGACCCTCGAGCCTCTCTTGGCGAGCTTCGTGTCGGCTCCATGGGCCCCAGTGAGGCTGCTATCGAGGATGGTAACACATCTGATGGCTCTGCCCGTACCTTGCGGAGACAGTCCACGGATGACCTACCGCAATCTCTCAACAAGGACTCTCGGCCAAGAAGCCATTCTCCATCACGCCCGTCCAGCTCTCGTAACCACCACATCCGATCCCAGCAGAGAATTAGGCGTTCTGGGTCTGGGAGTTCCAACTCTAGCCTATCTGACTCTTGGTACCACCACCATTCTAGGGGTAGCTCTGGGAATCTTTTGGGAGCCACCATTCTCCCCCCATCAAAATGGCGCTTTCTGAGGCACCTCAGCTTAGCGGATAACCCCATGACCTCGATTCCTGCATCTAGCTTGGCCCCTCTATCCAATACCCTCTTCTCCCTCGACTTGTCGTCCAACCTCTTCAGCCAAATTCCGGACAGTCTTTCCACTCTCACTGCTCTCCGTGCCTTGAACTTATCGCATTGCATGATTGACTCGCTACATTCTCTAACCCGAAACCCTCTGCCGGCTATTACTGCCCTCAATCTCCGGGCCAATAGACTCCAATCTCTTGCAGGGATCGAGAAGCTGTATCCCTTGGAAAGGCTGGACCTTAGAGATAACCGGCTCACAGACCCCAAGGAGCTTGCACGCTTGACCGGCATTCCGGAAATTCGTGAAATCTGGGTCGAGGGCAACCCCTTCACCCGCACGCACAAAGATTATCGTGTGACCATTTTCAACTTGTTTCGTCTGACACCGGGATATACCGAAGATATTGTCATTGATGGCAGCGGCCCTAGCTCTTCTGAAAAGCGAATTCTCGCTGACCGAGTCCCGATTCCCGAGTCGGTTCCGGTTGTGAAGCCGGTTGTGACTGAGGTGCGAGGTGTCGATGTAAGCAAGCCCAGTGTCGTCTACGGTGCTGCCAGAGAAACTACTGTCCTGCGCAAGGAGAGGCCGGTTCCAAAGGCTGTTGCCAGCGAAACCAACACAAGTTCGACGCGGCGTCGCAGAAACACAAAACGACGTATCGTCGATCTTTCAACTAGTGACAAGAACCCACAGCCTTCGCCAATCGACGTGCAAAGCCTAAGATTCCCGATTGAATCTCCTTCAGTCGTTGCCAACTCTGTGGATAGAAATTACAGAGCTTCGCGCGCATCCAGTACCCCGGCTTCGCCTCCTATTGCATACGCAAAACCCACCGATTATGGCACCAGCCCTTTCTCCATAGAGAACGCTCATGCAGATTTTTCTTTTAGTGCGGGCAATATCCAGCCTCAAGATTGGGATTCCAATGGCGAAATTTATCGTCGCAAAATAGAGGCTCTACGTGACAAGGTTGGCGATGGCTATCTTAGCGTACTGAGTGAAGAGAGCTGGGATGCCAACAATGTCTATGGCTCACCAAATATGCCTCCCTCTACTGCTGCGCTCCTGGCGGCTCATGCCCCCGCTCACCACGCGCCGCCGATGCAAGCCATTCACGGAGGCCACTCATGATAACTTAGTTGAGCGTTCTGAGTTTTTATTTTTATTTTGAGCCTAGCATCCTAGGTCAACACCCATTTCTGAATGATACCCCCAATACCCTTTTTATGTCTTTATATAGGATTTTTCTCCAATCTCTACCTCTCAACCCTACATTCTCGCTTTTCTTCGCAGCCAGCTTGGAAAACAACAAAACAACACAAGCACATCAACCTGAGCTGCCCTTTGCTTCGTCTGTCTATTTATTCAACCTTTTCTTCTCCTCCTTCCTTCTTTTCTTTCCAGATGCAGGGTTTGATTGGTACTTTGTTTCTCTCTCTCTTTTATATATGGAGCATAGCGGTTGAGGCGCCCCGGCAAGAAACGACGATTGCCGTCGCTGTTTGGCTTTTATTTGAAACTCTTGCTTTTCCCCCAATGATATTTCTATTTCGCTTTTTTCGGATGGCTGTCTCAAATTTCACTGTTCAGAGGCTGGGAAGGATAAAACAAAAGTGGCTTATCACGTATGAATGTTGCATGAATTTTCTGTTTTGGCATGGATTTTCTTCTTTTGTCTTTAACTAAGAGCAACTTTTCTTTCTGTTCAGCTTGGAAACGGCGTTACGACGAGGAGGGGCCAGGCTTGTGTGTGTCTCACACTCTCCTGCAGCTTTGGGTCGACACTCTATTGCTTTGAAAGAAAGGTGTGCTTGAGCGTCGCGAGTGTCGAGATGGGTTTATCATAAGCCAGGAAAACGAGTAGATAGATTCGATGAGCTGTTGATGGAAGAATGACAAAACATGCGAGTTTCCACGTTGTAATACCGCCGCCTCTCTATCTTTGTGACTGTGTTGGTTTCCCTCTTGACATATGTCAGCCCATCTTTAGGCAAAATACCTTGCAGGCAGTATGATGCAATACCATGTACGTAAGCCTCTTCTGAATGCACACTAAAGACTAAAAGACTATACACCACATACAGGTACATATCTAGTGCCTGAGATATATCCACTTGGTTGCCGTGTCTGTCTGCTAAGCTCAACCTAGTAGTATGCAATAGAAAATGATCCTGGAATATGCCACGTAAGGGCTTTTTGTCGTTGCATTGGCTGCTTAGGTAGATGTGTTGATCTAGGAGGCTTAGTGGGTGCGCCTTTGTAAAGGTATAGAGGCGGTCAAGAAGAAGCAGGATCTATCCGTTATGGCGCTGGCCTTTCATGTGATGAACAGTACATATACATGTGTTCATTCAGGTGAATTGTATCCCTGAGCGCTAGAGAGTTTAGAGCTCGACCACAAAGCTACTAAATTTGAGTTGATCAATCAATGTCGACAGTACACGCATAGAATCTTGACCGGAGTCGATTGAATTATATCCATACTCATGTTGCTATTCATATTGGGTAGACATAGTAGGTAGTAGGTAGTATAGGCTGATGACTTACTTGCGACAACCGCCAGGTCTGGTTAAATACTAATTGACTGCTTGAGTAGATGGCTCTTTGTATTCAATTAATTTGATTCGAGGTTAAAGTTTGAGAGAGAGAGGAAGGAAGATTACGAGAGAGAGACACAGGCTGTGATCGAATAATCGAATTACCTAGTATTACGTGAAAGGTGCTAGGTAGTGATTACACGCTCATGCTAACGGACCATCCGAAGAATTGAACCAGTGGCCCGACGCAAGAAACGAGGCCAGGGGGGAAGCTTATGGAGGGGCGGGGGACACGGGACGCGGAACGAATGAACTCTTTGTCTCGATCTAAACTGGCCGGCGCCTTGGATCGATCGCAGAGGCGCATCATTTGTGCGTGCATTAACTGCCGCCGAGACGGCTCTCTGACGGGGCGAGGTGTGATTGGTGAAAGCCGGGAGGAGCCGTAATGCGCCTCGGCCCTGGGCGCCCGATTAATCTGCCACGTTTTTTTTGCTATAGTGCTTGCGGCAGATCATGAGGGTGTGGGGGTGAGATGTGATACGAATGATACGAATGGAGGAGGTCCAAGTTATCAAGAGGATTGTAGTGGAAATAGTATAGCATGTGGGCTCTGGAACTCTTTGGGCATCCTCTCGGTGTTCCATTGATCGATCTTTCAGATGGCACATCAATGCTATGCCTCGTCCGTTGATGCTGCGACACGCACCATCTCTAGAGCATGTTGCGATTTTCACGGGGCTAGCCGGGGATCGCACCAGCTGTATGGATACAATCGGTGGTAGCATGAGATATAGTTTATACTACTACTCCAAGTATGTATGTACATGTCGCCTGGATGGAGATGGTTAAACTGCCGGGCTCCGCTTTCCAGACTTGCTCTCGTGCAGCGCTGCGATGTGCCGAGAAGAGCGTGTCGAGGTTTCATGTATATTGGCTGATGCAACTAAAGATACCGTGTACTAAGCACCAACAAAATGGCTGGTCCTGGGGTCGACATCATATCAGCTGTCATCGTTGCCAGTTTTGTCAAGGCTGAATCGAAGACGACGGAGACATGCGATTCTAGTCGGATTTTCCAGGTACGCACTCGCTTGCCGGCATCGAGCTTAGCCTAAAATAGAAAAGCATGACTTTCTGACTAAACCGGTTGCGACCTGCAGCCACTGCCCACGGGCTGGTGGTCCGTGCGCATGTCCTTCACGCGTTGTCTGTTTTTCGCTCGCCCCCGATCCCAAGAGCCGCCAGCCGACGTCACGTCGTCCACTGATGCTGCCATCGCCCATCGACTGCTCGCCAACGAGGGCCTGTTTGCCTTGCCATATGACCCGTGGCGCTCCAGCTGCCATCTCGGGGCCTTCTCCTGCTCGGCGGCCATCGAAACCGATAGCCTGCTGTGCGCGCCGTCTCGCAAACTCGCCTCCCATCCGCCCTTCCTCCGCCGTGATCGATCCTGCGAACCGCTGTGCGCCGTGACCTGAGCTGCCTGCAAACGCCGCCATCTGCTGGACGCCATGGCTCCGACTTCACCTACGCCCCGTCGAACGCCCACGGGGCGGCGCAGAGGCCGTCCGCCAGGGACCACCAACGCTGCGCGTGCGGCCAGACAAGCCTCCCTCGCGGCGGCCGCCGCCGCCTCCGAACCACCTCCCAAGCGGCGTCGCTACGTTCCAGGAGGGCCTGGAGGTGGTGGACGGTATCTTGACGCAGACGCCATTCAGACCCCTGACACAGCCCGATCCAACGCCGGGTCACGATCGAGAACATCTGGTGCGGCTCGACTTGCCCTCAACGGAGGCTCACCTCTCCCCCCACGCCGAGAGAGAAGCACACGAGCGAGGACCGCTGCGAACGAAGATAGTGACGAGATGCGATGGGGGTCGGCCGCGGCCATGGCTGCGTCTGTGAAGCAAGCCGAGGACTACAAGCCTCGCGAGGAGCGTAGCTGGGAAGAGTTTCATCCAAACCTGGATATTGAGCTCCCGTTTGTTATATTTGCCGCCGACGACGTTGACGGGGTCGTCGCACAGGAGGCGCCAAACACACCAGCTCTAGATGCGCCGCCCCCTACTACGCCTCATCTGGACTCCATGACCCCGTCCAAATCTGTCAACCCCGCTTCGACGGGCAATACGCCGAATCCCCAAGCAACACGAAGTGCGGAGGCCGATGCAGACGACTCTGCTGCCGGTACCCCGTCAAGACGCCCTCGTCGATCCACTCGAGAAGTCGTCAGCTTTTATAATATCCGTCCTTTAGAATTTGCTCCTACACCAAGAACCCCCAAGATACTCCCTATACAAAACCAGACACCCAAGGAACGACTCGATTTAAAACTACCCTCATATAGAAAAACCAACCGTATCGAATTATTCGAAAGCAAGACCTTTGGCCAGGCACGATATGTTGACAAGGCCATGAGCAATGTTGGCTACCAAGAGAGTGACAACTTTATCCGATCCGAACGAACGCTTATCAAAGCTACCGATGGCAATGCAGACGACGAGTTCGACCAGTTTTCAGTGGCAGCCGGTGACGACCATGTACAGCAGTCAAGGCTTGGTCGTGTTGAGTATGATATGGATGAGCAAGACGACATGTGGCTTGAGCAGTATAATGCTCAACGTAAACAAAACGAGCTAGAAGCCATCACCCGGGAGGTCTTTGAAATTACAATGACCAAGATTGAAAAGGAGTGGCACGCTCTAGAGAGAAGAATACCAAAGCCGAATCCAAAGCCGCCCCAGACGCACCGGCCACGCTCTAGCTCTGCCGTGGCCGTCAATGGCGAGCCCCACGGCGGCGAAGAGCCAGACAGCAAATGCGCAATATGTGATGATGGGGATTGCGAAAACACAAACGCCATCGTCTTCTGTGACGGCTGCAACCTTGCAGTACACCAGGAATGTTATGGTGTGCCGTTTATTCCGGAGGGCCAGTGGCTCTGTCGCAAATGCCAGCTATGCGGTCGTGGAATACCGGTAAGAGCCGCCTACGTCTTGCTATCTATCCTTGACTCTCTGCATTTTGAAATTCTAGATCTAACCATTTTTCTCCTTGTCTTAGACGTGCATATTTTGCCCCAATACAGACGGTGCTTTCAAGCAAACGAATTCGTCTAAATGGGCCCATTTACTCTGTGCCATGTGGATTCCTGAAGTCTCTTTGGGAAACCACACCTTCATGGAGCCTGTCATGGATGTCGAGAAGGTCCCCAAGACCAGATGGAAGCTGACCTGCTACATCTGCCGTCAAAGAATGGGCGCCTGCATCCAATGTGGCAACAAGAATTGCTACCAAGCTTTCCATGTCACTTGTGCAAGGAGGGCTCGTCTTTTCCTCAAGATGAAAACCGTTCAAGGGACCCTTGCTGTTCTAGACGGCAGCATGGTCCTCAAGGCATTTTGTGACAAGCACTGCCCACCGGACCATGCCCAAGAATATCAAGTCCACCAAGCGACAAGGGCCGCGAAGAAGTTTTATAAGAGGAACATGCGTGGGCGCATCTGGGCAGATAATCAAGCCATGGCGAATGTCATTGCAGCGCAGCACCGAACCGCCATAACGGATCATCCGCCGGATGAGAGCCAGATG